CGAACATCAAGATTATTCAATTTCCAGTAGTTCCTTCTAGATGGGACTTGAAAATTTTGATTCCAAAGTAGTCAAGGTGACGCCGCTACGGTATTTACGATTAATGTATTAAACCCTGAAGAGGTAAAACTTGTTCTGTTCGTTCTAACCTTCCATCCCTACAACGCAGATAGTACGGAACTGCCCTCAAACCAGAAATCTGTTGAGTAGATGGTGACTTCCTGGTATATATTATAGTAATAGCAAAAAAACTGCGGAGAAGATAAGATCCACTCGTAATCTTCTATTACGAGGTGTCAACTACGTATTAGAGGGATAAGTTGGACGGCCAAACATCGGTCAATGTCCTCGAAACCACTCTTGTCGGTCGATCTCATAAGTTTTGCATGAGTCTTTGAAACATTTTGCTGGCCGGCATGACAGCAGGACAGGAGGGCTTACATCGACCTGGTCAGATTCGGTCGGGGAATTCAAAGGTTCCCTCTTTGCATAGGCCTCCTTTTCACCTGTCCCACCCTCACCTCCTCTAGAACGGGAGCCATTTTCAGCTGTCAACACTTAACTTAAGGCGGAGTCCAGTTGGCCGGCTAGCCGGTAGAGGAGTCAGCTGCTTATTTATAACAACATTTGATCGATTACAATTACTGCGTAGTAGCACTTGTGGATTTCGCTCGGTTTTTTTCTTTTTTCTCACCTTTTCCTCTTCGATTTCATGTCCTAGGCGTTTTCTGTTCGTTCATAGGATTATCATTCGTTTTTCCTCATCGAACAGGCTGCTCGGCTTGGCTGTTGGCTTCAATCCCCTTCATCGGAGGCGTGGCCTGGCGACGCATCACTCACGTAATCGTATCATTTCGTATTCGATGCTGCTCCCTTGGACTACCTAGCCACTCCATTCCTCCTGTGCGTCCGTCTAACCAGTTCTGTCTTACTACTACTGCTACTACTACTGCTACTGCTACTGGTGACTGAAATGGAATCCAACTAAATTCAGTACTACTGAACTTTGTAATGATGTTAATGTTACGAAAAAATAGTGATGATGTCTTTTATCCACCACAACAACGACGTACTTCGTCGAAGAAACGAGCTCAATCGCACAAGGAGACGAAAAAGCAACGGAAACCAACTGAAAGCCCAACGCCGCCACCATCACAACCACCACCGCAGCCGCTTTCCGGTGATGGCGAACGGGAACAGAAACGAAAAAGATCACCACGGAAGTTAAGCGAAGCCCTAAGGAATCCTAGAGAAATGCTTTTGCGAAAGAAGAAATCCCTGGGATCCACCTTATCATGGGATCCTGCTCAACCTCCATCTCCTGCACCCAGTCATTCATCTGTCGATCAACGTAGTCGAATTCATTCTGATGGTTCAGATATTCTTAGTGGTGACGATGCTAACGACAAAGATGGCCAACCTAAGGTCAACATCGAAGGACCACGATTTGAATTGGAGGTCAGTACTTTAAGATTGAATTTTTTTTTTCTTCTGGGTCAAGTACCTCTTAAAGGAGCCCTTAAGAAGACTATTTTGGCGGTGAAATGGACTTCCTGATGGGAATGAATGGCTGTTTTCGAGCACTTGTAAGTTGGGGCGATCCCATTCCCCACCTTTTTGGGCTGTTCCCTTCGGGAACGCTTTGATTCTGATGAAGTTCATCTGTTTGTCAGAAATTTCTAGAAAGTTATTGAAGAGTTTTGACATTTTAAAAATACCCTGAGACATTTTCAAATTGAATATTGCCGAGTGACCTTTATCCACAATAAAACCCCTTAGAATTCTAATTAACTCCAGAATTTATTCCCCGACAGTATAGCCGTTCCTTTCAGACCTCCTGTGGGCATTGTTTGTTGGTGGCCGANNGAAATTTCTAGAAAGTTATTGAAGAGTTTTGACATTTTAAAAATACCCTGAGACATTTTCAAATTGAATATTGCCGAGTGACCTTTATCCACAATAAAACCCTTTAGAATTCTAATTAACTCCAGAATTTATTCCCCGACAGTATAGCCGTTCCTTTCAGACCTCCTGTGGGCATTGTTTGTTGGTGGCCGAATATCGGAGTGAGTTACTGAAAAACGAAATTGAAAGTGCAGTGAAACTGCTAGCCAGACGTCTTGGATCCACCCCACGGACCCGAATGCCCTTACAAGGAATGCCCAACATTGTCGTCTCATCGATATCATCCGATGAAGACGACTATTTATCATCGGAACGTCAGAACAGCAGTGATCGTACCTCATCATTGCAGACTTCTGAGGCCAGGTAAGCACTTTCACCTTTTTGTGAGTTATTTTGTGAAACAATAGATGGTTGGCGTTTTTGGAATGCGCCATGCACCTTTCTGATTTGTCTTTTACCTGAAATCCTTGGCTATTGGAAACTTTAAGACATCTCTTGGCCATTTTTCTTTTCCAACTGGAACCTTCGAATCTGCACCCTGAGGGCACAAATCCAATAATTTCAGTAAAACTGGTACTGGATCGATTCTAACCAGATCCCACCCCAGGATGACCTTTCGTATAATCATTTTTGTTTCCTGATTTTGTCTCTATTTTCATCCGCTTATTCAGTCAGCCATGTCAAATAATGCTTTGGAACCAGTTCGCAGCTTTAAAACCTGTCTGGTAATTCCCCTCCTGTCACTTTGCATAAGCCAAATACTCATTCGAACTGCTAGACCTCCACAATTTACTACCAGAATTACCTTTTGAATGGGTTTCTTGATGGAAAACTGGTTTCTTGATGGGAAAATGGGATTTTTGATGACAGAGGCTGGTTTTCCTTGAATAATCGGCATGGACGATAATCCCAGTGTCCATTCTTTGCTTGGAGAGGATTTGGGACTTCGTNGAACTGCCTAAGTTCGTCCCGGGAATTCTTCTAAAGTCAGTGAAGGATTTATTGGTTTTGCATAAAAATGAAATTGGTAACATTCACGGAAAGACATTGATGGGAGAACCATGAGGAAGAAAGGAATTGCCCGTAGGAAGTTTATTATCCTTTTATCTTCTTGCCATTAAGTACCCATTAGGGCCGCGTCGTTGTCGGAAGGGGCGCAGGGTTCAATGCATCACAGGCGGCCATATCAGATAGGATATTAACAATACTTTGCTGATTTACCTCACCAACTTACAACTGAGGGCTTTGGAAAACCACTAATTGTCCTCAAATGGCTTTACCACTTTCGGCAGGGGGTTCAGAAAGTGGTTCGATGAGCCTCCAGCCACTTAGGCGTGAATGCTTCCTTTCTGAAGACGTGTCGATAACTCAAACAGGGCGTAAATCAACCCCGATAGGGAATAAGGGCAAGCCAGAGATTGAAAGTAGACAGTCGCACGTTTATCGATCACTTACGGCTGAGCCATGAATTCAATACTTGTTCGGATTGTTAGACAGATTTGAGTTACCTAAACCTGGCTGCTGGCGAATCCGATACTTTTATTGCTCATTTCACAACTTGGCTATGGCTCCTCACTAAACGTGAACTGAACGTGAGCCTTGAGCCTAAGCGAACAGAACGGTCAGTTCCAAAGGATAGGAGCTCATAAGCAGCAACATTCCATCGTACAGCCCTATCCACTGATGTATTTGGGTCCATCTGTTGAGTTTTACCCTCCCATGCTGTGGAAGCACTCCTAGGAGGTTATGGAAATGTCAGATACCTTAGAATTTGGGAATAGACATTTTCACAATCCAGAAATAGAACAGATCCTGCAGGTGACGTAACTGGATCTAACCTAGGTGTTCAAAGAAAATGGGTAAATATTAACTGGATTATCCAGAGTTCAATGGGCTAATTATAGAGGACGTTAAAGGGCTCTAAGTCTGAGCAAAGCCATATTAAGATACGCCACACATTCGACCTCCATTCTGATTCCCAGTGAGGTTTGAAAGCACATTTGGGCCAAATGATGGCCTACAAAGGGAAGTTATGTAGGAAGCATTGGTAGACTTTCAGAGAACCACAAATCAGGATGGTCCGAGTGGGTTAGTTCAGGAATTTCAACTTAAAAAAAGAACTACTGAAGCAAGAACGCTTGTAGACCCTGCCCTAAGATCGCCCTGAACATCATGAACATATGGCGAGTATCCGAGGATTTTGGATAGACGGGAAAAGCAGCCATTTGTTGAGAAGTTTCGTGAATTGCCTAAGAAACACTTGGACCCAATTTGTGGTGGACCGCCGCTGAAGCTCGTTAGTTCGGCAATGGCCAATGAATGCTCTCCTAATTTGTCGATTCCCTTGTCCGTCTTCTTGGAACGACCCGGGTGGTGCCGGCGACGGTCTTCCGGGGGCGATTCTGTTGTTTGCCACGTGTCGTTTATCTAGCACTGCGACATCTTTTGTTGCGATGGCTGGCTGATCCGCTTAGGCGACCTGAGGGGCTTTGAGGATTCCTAGAAGAGATCTCGACACATCGGCATTTGATGAAGCCTTTATCGTTCGTATGGAGAGGAAGGCATTCGCGATGTCTTAGTGATTATCTCCAGGCTTAGAAGAGATGCAATTCCCTCCACGAAATCAATGTGTGTAGCACCTCGTGAGCAGATGAAGTCCCAACATGAAGCCCTTGCCCATAATCTCTGACTCATTCATCTCGTTCATCTCGCTAAACGCTGGTCACAAGATACTCCGGCTGGAGAACCGATGGCGGAGGGACAAGCAAGGGAACGCATTCGGTTCTGGGGAACTCAAAGAAAAGTTTGTCATGGCGGCTTGTAGGCAGTTTTGGAGATGAACATCCTACCTTATGTATGATTACGTAGCCATTGCCGAGCTTTGATGGGTTCTACTTTGGGGTACGCCACACTTTTAACTCTTATTCAGAATTTTGGTTGTGTTTGAATGCGCATACGACTTGTACAATGACTGGAGTAGGCTACTTGCTGTACAAATGCCACTACTGACATCCTTCCAAACAATCCCTGGAACCTAAAGGGCGGCGTCATTGGTGTGGGAAGCTGCTCTGACAGAACAGGATAAAGGATGTGTCCCCGCAGTGGTCGTGCCGTCATTGGGCCGTATTCCTCTGGACCATGGGAACTTGATTCATGAAAACTGACTCTTTGAAACAGTTGCCTCTCGTGAGCCCTGGTTTTCCAAGGGGTAAGCTATCCACCATGGTACTCGGGTTCATTGGTTCGACTTTCCCTTGCAGGTTGTGATTCGTGGCGGTACAACAGTCATTATTCTCTGAATTCAGTATCACCCGATACCCTTGACATCAGAATTACTAACTTATACTTTAATATTACTTGTATAACTCGATTGAACGCTTCAACGGCTTCCATGCTAATGAGATCATGTGTACCTTTTGATATGAGAGGTTTTCTGGCTGATGATTCATCTATTCCGTGGAAAGACCACATGAACTCGGAAAAAAGTTCCAATGTGGGGCAAAAATTCGACCAATCTAATTAGCCTTCGTTAAAGTTTGCTAAATTTTTTGCTAATAGATTTATTATGACGTCATTTCTCTCTGAACAGATCCCAAACGATTACTTTTCGTTGTAGTACTTCCCCGCTAAATTTTTAGAGCACTTCTGACCTACAAACCGCGGCGTCAACTAGTTACATCGTAAGCTGTAACAAGTAGAGGCTCCGGAGAACAGCCAGTTGCACAAGGAACCCGAATTTTCTGAGAAAGAGGGCCGAACTAATCTCGGATAAGATTAATTTTCATATCTTTACGCTGTTTCCTGGAAGATAAGCAGACATAAACGGCTCTCCTAAAGGGACTCGCCGGATTGCGCCATGTTTTTGGCCGCGCTTTCATATTGCGCATTAGAGCCGCGAATGAACTCTACCACTTACTAAGTAGCTCGATCCAGCCGAAGTCCAAAACAGCGTTTCATTTTCACATCATTATTAAAAAAGGATAAAGGATAAAGTTTTTGGCGTTAATCAATCCCGTCTGAGGGATGCGCCCCCGCACTCGACTTCCATTCAGAATCGTAGTGGCGTAATGAGTGCNCGGGATTCGAACCCCTGACCGTGCGTGTGATATAGTGCGCCACTTGCCACTACACCACCTCCGCCCCACATCATTATTACTCATTATTTATTACTAGTTAAAATCCTCTCGAAAAGGGTGAGCACCGAATTTCATTGTCGCCAGTTGAGAGTGTGGCCGGGTGCTATTTAGGACTCAATCTCGTGGATGGAGCGAGTACGTAACGGCGCCTTTAGCCAGTTTACTAGAATAACCACGTTCTGATGGGGTCTTTGGCAGGAAAAGACCCATGGGGTTTTCTCTCTAGTGCTGAAAGCGGAATTCAGTCTACTGGACTGGAACTAGGGATGGCTTGAGGTTTTTTATGTCCTCAAGCGGATGAATGATAGTGCAAAGGATAAGAGACCGAACGTATTCAAAGTGCTACTTAGTAGTGTTGTGATCCCTGGAAAAGATTAACGGCTAATGTGAATTTGTTGCCTTTAAATTTCCTCTATAACGTAAGCAGCAGAGGGGATTTTCATCAGCATGGATTAATCGAGTAAAGTGCTTGGAGATTAGCAAGCCATTCATCTACGACGACGACGACGACGACACACCAAACAATCCTCGGGATTCTTCACAATCGCCGGGGCTTGACTCTGACAATCTGGAAACTTAATAAGGAGAAGTTCAGAAGTACCCAAGTATCAGCTTCGTTCGTTTCATGAGGGGGGACCTGCGTAGGGTAGAAGGCCCAGAGCGATGATGGGCTCAGTTATCCTGGCCGAATTTCATGCATTGGAGCGAACGAGGGCGACCTGCCTGGGGTCTCCAAGCAAGAGCTTGCAGCTATTGACCAAAAATTTCAATATTTTTGTTTTTTTCTTTTTGAAAAAATTGAGCTCTGTAAAAGCGGGATCGTTGAATACCGTACTCCTCAGTCTCTAGTCGGTACTTTGCCTGTAGATACTGTACTTTATCATAACCTGACTGTGGACTCAGTACGGCGCCTCCGATAGCTCACCTGAACCTTTCTCTGCAGTGCTCCTGATGAGCTCAAACTTCCTGCTATCAAAATCCCATTCGACCACGGGGGAAGTACCTACTTGGCAGTAGGAAGTATACGCCGGAATGAATGTACCCCTCCGATATGGTGGGATAGGATTTCTGCGGGTTAGGGTAGGAACTGGGTAATGTAGGCGTTACAAAGATAGGCCGGCAGACTTTCACCTCAGAATTTTGGTCTGCCCGGGTACTAGCGATATTTACCAGATCGAAAATGTTCTGGATCCCAGATTTCAGCCAAGTGGCGCCGATTTACTACCACATTTCTCGGGGACCCCATTATAACACCTCCGCGTTGACGTGCTTTGCAGTACCATCGTGGGAGGGCATTTTTCTCGGCTCGTAAAATTCTTTAGCCCATAGCAATTGGCAGAAATATAACCACAGCGCTTTCAGAAAACTTCCGTTTCAATGGATTTCCGGTTATAAATACTGGTACCCACAAATGATCCTGACGGCATACCTTACCGATGTGCCGCCATCTGGGTA